CCCTCCTATAACCTGCTGCTAGTGACGTAAGGACCATTTATTGTGTAATAGCCCCCCTCCTATAACCTGCTGCTAGTGACGGAAGGACCATTTATTGTGTAATAGACCCTCCTATAACCTGCGGCTAGTGACGTAAGGACCATTTATTGTGTAATAGACCCCCTCCTATAACCTGCGGCTAGTGACGGAAGGACCATTTATTGTGTAATAGACCCCCTCCTATAACCTGCCGCTAGTGACGTAAGGACCATTTATTGTGTAATAGACCCCCTCCTATTACCTGCTGCTAGTGACGTAAGGACCATTTATTGTGTAATAGACCCCCTCCTATAACCTGCAGCTAGTGACGTAAGGACCATTTATTGTGTAATAGACCCCCTCCTATAACCTGCTGCTAGTGACGGAAGGACCATTTATTGTGTAATAGAGACCCTCCTATAACCTGCGGCTAGTGACGTAAGGACCATTTATTGTGTAATAGAGACCCTCCTATAACCTGCTGCTAGTGACGTAAGGACCATTTATTGTGTAATAGAGACCCTCCTATAACCTGCTGCTAGTGACGGAAGGACCATTTATTGTGTAATAGAGACCCTCCTATAACCTGCTGCTAGTGACGGAAGGACCATTTATTGTGTAATAGAGACCCTCCTATAACCTGCTGCTAGTGACGGAAGGACCATTTATTGTGTAATAGAGACCCTCCTATAACCTGCTGCTAGTGACGGAAGGACCATTTATTGTGTAATAGAGACCCCCTCCTATAACCTGCTGCTAGTGACGGAAGGACCATTTATTGTGTAATAGAGACCCTCCTATAACCTGCAGCTAGTGACGGAAGGACCATTTATTGTGTAATAGAGACCCCCTCCTATAACCTGCTGCTAGTACGGAAGGACCATTTATTGTGTAATAGAGACCTAACCCGTTGCTAGTGACGGAAGGACCATTTACGTGTAATAGAGACCTCCTATAACCTGCGGCTAGTGACGTAAGGACCATTTATTGTGTAATAGAGACCCTCCTATAACC